TTTTCTCAAAAAATATATTCCTAGGAGCAATAGATTGTATCAATTTTGTATGTTCGAAACAGTGTCAAAATTGGTTTGCCAAATTTCGTTCTGGTGATTTTTCACTCAAAGATGAAAAACGCTCTGGTCGTCCAGTTGAAGTTGATGACGACCTAATCAAACCATTCCCACGACAGTCGGGTCTACGTAACCGGAACGGACCCAGATTTTATCCGGTTAAGGACTGTCAACTCGGCAGAATTCTGCCGCTACAACAACAACGACCTAATCAAGGCAATAATCGATTCGGATCGTCATAGTACAACACGTGAGATTGCAGAGAAGCTTCAGGTATCACATACATGCAATGAAAATCACTTAAAACAACTTGGCTATGTTCAAAAACTCGATACATGGGTTTCTCACGAACTGAAAGAAACGCATTAGACGCAACGCAATAACAGCTGCGATTTGCTAAAGAAACGTAATGAAAATTATCCATTTTTAAAACGAATGATAACTGAAGCAGGCCAGGTGAACCAGCTCAAACAACAACAAAAGCTGATATTCATCAAAAGAAGATTTTGTTATCAGTTTGATGGGATTATAAAGGAATTGTCTACTTTGAACTATTACCACCCAACCGAACGATCAATTCTGTTGTCTGCATTGAACAACTAACGAAATTAAACAATGCAGTTGAAGAAAAGCGGCCCGAATTGATAAATTGAAAAAGTGTTGTATTCCATCATGACAATGCAAGGCCACACACATCTTTGGTCACTCGGCAAAAATTATTGGAGCTTGGTTGGGATGTTTTGTCACATCCACCATATAGTCCTGACCTTGCAGCATCGGATTACTTTTTGTTTCGATCTTTACAAAACTTGAAAAATTTCAATAATGATGATGATGTCAAATCGTACCTGATTCGGTTTTTTGCTAATAAAAACCAGAAATTTTATGAACGTGGGACTATGATGCTGCCTGAAAGATGGCAAAAGGTCATTGATCAAAATGGGGAATACATTACAGAATAAAGTTATTTAGTTCCATGAAAAAATTCTTTGATTTTTGAAAAAAAATCCGCAATTACTCAGTTGCCAACCCAATAAATAAATAAATAAAAATTGTTCTTTTTACCCATTTTCAATTAAAATGTTTCCTAAATAAATTTATAAATGTTTCAACTACAACTGCTTATTAGCAGTTCAAATTTTTTGATACTCTAGCCAACCCCACTACAGTTGAAAACCGTAATACCAAAAGTTGAAGCCGAATTTTTTTGACGGGTTGAGTTGAATAACCACATTACCGAGTTTCAAAACTTCAACCAAAATGCAGTTGGTTTGAAAACCGTAATATCTCAAGTTCATAATATTTACTATCTTAACCAAATCTTATACGAGTTGTGGTGAATTTCTTGTTTTAACAAACAATACCTTTAACACTTAAACGGGAAAATACCTAATACTAAAAAACATCACATGACTTTTAATATCAGAAAAAATAATAAATTTATAGCATATTTCACTTGTAAGAGAAATTTCAGAAGCGCTCAAATTAAAAAAAATAATACTTGCAACAAAACTGAAACACTTAATTAACAAATATAATACACAAATGGTTTTTTCTATGACAAGACTATTCAAAATTGTAGCAATAACCAAATACAACTTTTTAAAATCTCATTACTATATAATATTAAAACTGTTTAATTTTATTACATATTTCTAACACAATTAGTACTTAACAGATAATATGTAGATCAGCTTGCAAATAGAAAATATCAAATAAATAAGCAAATTTAAAGGAACATCTAATAACTGATATATAAACTATTTGAAAATATCACCCATATGTAACATGTAAGAAATATTTTTATTCAACAAAATATAATTACTACTATACCAATCAAATCTGAATTGATGGATTTTCCCTAAATTTGACGACATCACTTGAAATGTAATTTTAAGTTCGATAATTTACAATAATAAAGCAATGAGGGTATAAAATCGAGTTTAAATGAATATAAAAGATTAATGATTTCCCACTTTTTCGTTTCAATATCGCCTTTAAGAATGGTTATTACCTTATATTCGTATAATAGGTTTATTGAAATTTACTGTTAGTTTTTTAAAAAAAGATAACACTTATAAAATTATCACAAATTTTCACAGAATGATTTTTAAATCATGGATAAGTCCAAACAGCCGATGACCACTTTCAATGAAATGTCTGTACCAACTATCGTGTTGACGAGACAAAAGCCTTTATTTATTAGCAAAACCTGGCGCAATACTTAGGCTTTGAAAAGCCGGCCCATCAAATGCAACCGGAAATCGGCCAATCAAAAACGAGTCTTTTCTAACCCCCACACCAGAACTTTACAATGTACAAAAATTCAGACCCGATCGGGCGAAGTGAATTGACAGAGAAGGAACATTTGCCGTTGGCTATTTTGGAAAAAAACAGTGACAGACTACAAATGGATAGATAATAAAGGACACGAGACAGGACATGTAAATACCACAAACTGACCAATAAAAATCTAACAAATAAATAGATCATTAAAAATTCTTGCTCGATATATAGAAACAGGGGAAGTTACACGTTCGGGTACCACGCAACCAATATATTAACCTGAAAGACCACAACAGAAAAGCTCCGAGTACCTGCAGTTATATGTAATTACAATTTATATATGCTTATTTGAATGTACGTGAATGCATGCGCCATTATTGTGTGCAGGGGAGAAGGTACTAATAAAGTTGCATTTAATGTTGTCAGTGTATCGTGTTTTTTTATTGAATTTTTTAGCTCTTGTGGTCAACCCCTTTCTAGGGGTAAGGAAATTATTTGAAAATATATCCACATCAAGGAACGTAATCAAATTATGGGGATTTTTAATTGCACGATGGGCAGGCCGGAACAGAACTTCTATCGAAAACGTAGAACTGAAAACACTACTGATGTCTCAAGTTGTGAATATTTAATAAAGCAATACCCATTATCTTGTGATTTTAGAAGCAACTTTGTCTGTTGGGAGGGTTATTTAGCTGTGTCAATATCAGCTGATGTTTTCACATTATTTATATTTAAAATTTAGAGCAAGCCATATACAATACTTCAAGGCGTAACTACCTGTATAAAAAGGAACTTAACAACTTGTCTTTGATAGTTATGGTAATTTTAAGTTAATCAAGACAATCATGTGAAATTCAGCCAATTGTGGAAAATTTGCTAGATAAACAAGCAAGTGGGAATGAAAAATTCTACTGCAGTAGCTTCCTTCGACATAGGATAATTATTTAAATGACCGTCTGAGTTAAACGCTTACTGCTAAAAATGCATTACATTAGGCTAACGGAAGATGGATTTAGTTTGTTGGCTATATTATAATAGGCGTATATATAATCGAGTATACCATATAAGTATTTTTTAGTTGTTTGCATGAGATGAGCTCTACTCCTGTTTGCCTTGAGTCTCTAATTTACCATACATGAGAAATGGCAAATACTTTCCAGAATTCGCTGATCGGTTGCTGTATTTTGCGGTATTGTACAAGTCGCTCTTACCACAACATCGATTATTCAATAGCACGAGTGCGGTACAAGAAGATTTTAACTGAGATGTTTTATGTTTGATTAATAAAAATAAAGGATTATATTACATACAAAACTTGCAGACTTCAGTTCTAAAAACAAAAATATCTTTGATTTCGATTTATTTAATATAATTTATTTGATCTTTGTTTCGTAAGGTCAGTTCGATCGATCAACAACAGCTAGTAAGGTTGATTTTCTTTCCCTTGTTCGTGTGTCAGTGATTCTTAAATAAATATAAGATACTTCCAATAGTTATCAAAATTAAATACATACAGAGTGCGACTTGAGAGTTGCTGTAGCGGCGAATGAAAATTCCCCGCATAATTTGTGGAATGTTCGGTTGCGTTGAACTGACTGTCGTGGTAAGGAGTGCTGTAACTTAACTTTTACATTTATTAACCGATTGCGTTGTCTAATCTTTTGGAAACCTCAATTCCATATAACTCTCGCCATGCATCTTTTTTCATAAAAACAACGAAAACATAGTTTGGTGCAGAAATTTTTGATTTCGTATTATTTAACGAAAAAAAGCAGCTAATCAATTTAAGGTATTAAAAACTTTGTTCCTGTAACCGTTCTAGGGGAATCAATTAAATAGGGGTATGCTCTTTCAAAATCCTTGCACGGTGGTTTTCCAATCCTCCAACGACGCAGCTACAAGACACCCGCAAAACAAGATATGCAATGGTTGCAGCAAATGCTACATTAAAATCCGTTAATGTGGCGAAGCAAAATAATTGCAACCTTGTTGTTGTTGTTGTTGTTGTTGTAGCGGCAGAATTCTACCGAGTTGACAGTCCTCGGCCGGAATAAATCCGGGTCCGTTCCAGGTCCGTAGACCCGACTGTCGTGGGAACGGCAACCTTGTGAAACTGTTTACCTGTTTAAAACTTTGAACAATATATATGTAATATGATATAGTGAATCGTAATCTTCTAAAATCTATTTATGATATGTTGTTGTTATGATATTTAAGATGACGTATACCAGCATACCATAGATTTGAAACATTTTTAGAAGAAATTTTAATTTCCACTATATGAAACAAATATTTATTTGAAAAATATTTAACTTTTTTAAAGATTGCTGAAGCCACTGACATTAAGCAGTCGAGTAGCCACGCCTAGTTTAGATGACTGTTGACAAGAGTATTTTCCAAAGTATACTTCATATAAATGTACGCACGAACATATATATCAATCATAATGTGTGACTTTCCACCAAAACTCCTTCAATACCCACAAAACCTATGTATTAAGTGTGAATGCATGTCATTGTTTGACCATTTTTGTCGGCATTTTTTCATTCCTCAATCCCCATGGCAACAAAATTACATTGACTGACTCTCAATGGCAATCTAAGACAAACTAATCTAGCTTGGCTCATAGAAGAAAGCGACTTATTGTCCTTAATAACATAAACGCGATATTAAATAGTATTTCTATTTAATATCTAAGCAATTAAGCAGTCGACCCAATACACAGACAAGGTTCGATATTTTATTCAAATTCAAATAAAACACGTTTACACATATCCATTTTTTTGGAAACATTTAACTTGAAGATATAAGATCTTTAAAATGTGAATGAAAAGCCACTAATAAGTTCTTGAAAGTTCCTCGGTGTATTAAGATATATGGACATTGATTGATATCAACAATAACGAAAGGTATTTCGGGAATTGTCACTTAATTTAGTGAAAGCGATTACCCATCTAACTTTGGTAACTGTTTAATTCTGCTACAATAAGAAGACACAGTGCTAATATACATGTGGGATGATAACATTCCAAATACATTATATACAACCAAATAAATGGCAGATTTAATTTTCTTAATGAAATGAGATTTTCATTATATTTATTGGGAAGTTTGTTAAAATGTTCAAAGGATCATTCATGCCCAATTTAGATAAATTATTACTGTTTTCCTGTTTTTTTATTTTGCCCCTCGACGACAATTGTGAAAGATAATGTGTCGCCGCGGAGTGCTAAAATAGAATAAACGACGAAAGAAACATCGCACAATTTCTTTATTATAGTCAACAAAATTAACCGAAAAAATAATCACAAAAAAAAAATTAATGAATCTGCACATGATTTTATGCCCGCTACAGTAGCCATAGCCCTTAATGTTCAGAAATACCTTCTGAACTTCAACCATAAATACATCAATGAAATTATAATTTTCTGTATCAAAAGAGAGCATATTGTGTAAAAAAAAAATACCTTACCTACTTATCTATCTCCATCTACACGAAAATAATTTATAAATTTGTACAATTTTATAACAGGTTCGTACAACGCATATAACTATACATATGTACACCTGCGGCCACGCGGAACATACCACTATACTTTCTTAAAATTTTTTTCGGACGTTTTCATTCTTTCGGGATTTTTATTTCGAATTAATTTTTTGTTTAATGTTTTTATTACGCACAAGTAAATTATATTATATTACCTAATTATAATTATAGTCTTTAATTTATTTCGTTTTATGAATAAAACACAAAGGAGTTTTTCTTTGCTTATACAAAAGCGTTCGATTTTATTGTTTTTAAATTAATAACGGGACTAAACATTGTATTTCAATTTTAAAAATAAATAAATATTATCAAATTTTCCGCGTGTCAGTCTCTTTTATTTCGAGCACATTTTGTAAGACTCACTATCTTTCAAATGATTTAGTCTACAACATAATGTGTTTTGTTTTTAATTTTTAATATTTTTGATTAATAACATTCAAAAAGTGCCGCTATAAAATGTTGCCAAATATATAAGTTGTGTATGGCCGCAGTTATGGATACATATCTATGCCTTCCCTAACATATCCAAACATATTGTTTTTTATATTGTAATTACCTGTGATGAGAAATATTGTACATATGGGAAAACACACTATACAAGTACAAAATGGGAAAATAAATTTTATTATAATAAACAATACATTTATAATTCGATGTATAACACCCTTTAACTCTTAACTCGAAATAGTGATGCATTTTAGTAATAAATTAAACTCGTCCATACTTAAGAACTAATTTCTTATGATTAATATCAAAGACACGTATTTTTTTTTAATTTAACTAGGATACAGTGTCGATATACCTTTCGTTTATGTACCTTATTTAATTCGACAAGTTGACTATCGAGTTCCTACCTTTTGGCTTAATTTTTTATTTGATATTAATGGGTCATATGGAGATATTAGAAATAGATATCCTGCAGAAAAGATATTGTCAGTAAATAGTTGTTTTCAATTTCATACCCCCAATATAAGAATCTATTCTGCTAAAGCGTCTATAGGTACAAAAAAATGTAAATGGTAAATCCATTCCTTTGAAATTTAATATTGAACAATGGTGAAAAGCAATGAAGAGTTGTTGTTTTAAACATACAAATAAAGCGTATTTATATATAAATAAGTATATCTAACTAAAAGAGAAGTATCGACGAATACAAGGCTTATAATCTTTACTGTTTGCAATAAACAAATTTCAAATAAAAAATATGTTTAGTTGTAAAACAGCGTACTTACTAGTCATAACTGGCGTGAAGACGCAAACTTGACTAATCGAGATTAAAACCTTTTATAAACTTTGTAGGCTCTGAAAAGAATAAGATAGGATTTTTTAACACATGCATTTCAAGTGCATAAGAACAAGATCATTACAGACCCTAAAACTACTAATCACTGTTTTTGTATTCATATAAAATATAGTAAGCCAGAATTCCGGTTA